GAAAGATTATAATAATACGCGTTGAATTGTTTTAGCCAGTACTCAATCATTATGAAAAAAGTGTAAATCGTTAAATTTGGTAATAAAAATTGTCGACAAGACGTTATCCTTAAATCAAACAATACATGAAATTACCACATTGATCATACAATACATACATAATTGGAAAAAAAACCATACATTACATACATTAACAAGTTTTAATAATACAATACATACAAAGCTAACCATACAATACATGTTTGCTATATACCCGCACTTTCACGATAAACATATAAAATACTTTAATTTTTTTTGAATATTCAAATTTTTTATGTAAATTTACGTAACTCTTTAATCACAATCATGTGATATGCGATGATCACATGATTTACGCAGAATTTTTTGAGGTGTTCTTGAGTTATTGATCCGATTTTCAAACGATTTTAGTTGGCTAAAAAATTTTGAACAGAATAGAAATGAACAGGGCTCTTAACTTTGGTAAAATGAAAAAAAAAGAGATGTATATATGTACAATGTAAAAATCGAATATTTATTTTATTTTGAAGAGTATCATATTTTACCAATTCGCAAATATGATCGATATACAGTATATAAATAATCTGGAATGAGAAGAAATATATAATGAGTATAACGTTTTGTTAGCGTGCACCCAATATCTATGGCTTTCACTATTGTTTACGGGATGATATACTGTAGATGGCAACAAATGGTAACAAATGTCAAGAAATTTTGACCGTCGATTCGAGTGCACGTGATCGGTAATGCTGCATCGTAATGTCGGCCTGTATTACCGTGAAAGGAGAAAAAAAAGAAGTTTTTTTCTTTGTTCCCCAATTGTGGCTACTTTTTTTCAAAAATAGTGACTCTATAAATAAACGTAGATCTTGTACATTATTGATAAAGTAATAAATAAATAAATAAAGTAAAATGAAATTTTTAAAAAGCAACAAATAAAAGAATAACTAATAAGGTAATATTAGCTTCTTGTTATCGATTATTTAAATCAATGCTAATACAAATTTTACTTCTTATTTCGTGTCCTAATTGTAAACTAATGAAAGTAAACTTTCAACAAAACAAAACAAGTAAAATTGTCGGAACAAACTAAATAGTATTGTATTAATTGTTTGTTACAAAAAAAATCCAAATACAAGAAAGAATATTAATTTCATATTTCATTCTTTCCAAAGGAAATAAATTATTACTTTTACTTTATAAAAAACATTGAATATTAAAATTTCTGATGAGAACTAGTTTTAATGGCTTGTCATTTATCATTACGTAATTTATTGACTCATGATTCAAAAGAATATTATAAAACTACGACCCGTTTTTCCAAAAAAAGAATATAAATAGCACGTTACATTCTTTGTATTCTCTAAGATCCGATGTCGACTTATTTATTAATCTTCTTTTTATTATAAAAGGCTCTTGGAAATTTTATCACATCTAACAAATAAATTATAACAATCACGTTCAAAAAACTATGGACCACAAAATTTACAAAATAATAAAATAATAACAGATACAATTTTGCTGATAACTGATTCCAGTAATTAGTTATTGGATGGGGAGTAGCTATATCGGTCACAGGACCGATATAACTGCGGTCCGAAATGGTATGACGTTTGTTGTTTGGGATGACGTTAACTATCAGGATTAATTTTATTGGGTGATTTATTTTATCAGGTGATGATTTCTGCGCACTACAGTATGCAATTAATTTTTATAATTTTGGAAATTTTATTTAAAATTTTAGACCGGAACTTTATAGGTCGTTCTAGAACTTTTGATTTTAATTTAAATAGGCTTTGGAAGTATTTTGAATAACATAACTTAGAAATTCTTTTCTTGAATTTTTCATTTTTTATTTCGTCTTTTGAACTTGGGAAAAATACATTATTTCACAATAATCACTCTATTGCAAAGGCCTAATATTATCAAAATAAAAAATTATTATCATAATAAATTTCTTGAATATTATTTTATAAATCGAGTAGTTACCTGTTAGAAGTTATAACGAAAAAATTTTTATTACCCTTAAATAATTCTTGCAAAATTTCTTTTTGATAAATTTTCATTGTAAAGTTCATTAACTTTCCCTAATTTATCTCTGAAGGATTTATGATGAATTTTTAGGCGTTGTATTGTATTAAACTAATTAAGCAATTGTATTTGATAAGTTTTCTCTTACAAAGAAATAATGTAATTTAAATAGATAAATAATTATTCTATTTTGAAATTTGATACTATTACGTAAAGCAAATTAAATAAAAATTAAATATTAGAGAGTACTCACGATACTTGGGCACTTGGCCATATGGATATATGGATGGTTGAATCGGTTAAGCCTTTATTTTTACTTTATATAAATAGTATAAAATAAAGAATATACCCTAAAACAATATTATAACAATAATCAATAAATAACGTAAATTATTATTTTTTTTTTCAAGGGCCGCGTGATAACTTTATTGATAAATTATTTCATATAAAACAAAATATCTCTATTCTTCAGTCCGATCAACGAGATGTGGCCGATGAAATAATATTTTTTCCTAATTTCCAGCATTTACTGAGGGATCAAAGATATCCAAATTTTGTATAATCAAGTGTAAAATATAAATAAAATTTCAAAGTAAGAATAAAAAAAACAAGGAAAAAAAATAAAAATAAAAATTCTATAACAGATAAGAACGAAAGATAAAATAAATTAAATTAACTAAAACAACTATATCAATAAATTAAATAAGGGACGTAATATGATTTTGCAGGATCGCTAATATTGCTAATTTGTGAAATCGTAGATCTACATATATCTCCGTTTCGAAATTTTGTAGAGTAAAAACTTCTGTGAAAAATATACCAACTGATGTACTGAAAATTAATGAAATAAATATATTTTTGAAAAAAGCCTAGTCTATCAAGAAAAAAATCTTTCTAATACTCCCAGAGAACGGATACAAATGTCGAGTTGTGCGTTATTCCTATCGAAGTATAATTATGTATTTTGTATTGTTAATAACAAATAATCATAATATAATGAAATAAAATAATTACCCATCAGATATCGATCCGTCAATGATCATTGAATGTTCTTCAAATTCCAAAGTATCTGATCCCTTATTTCCATTTTCTTTCAAATATTTATTTATAAAACTTTCGTCTGGAAAATCCGGATCTGTTTCACAGCCAACAAAGACGAACCATTTGTTTTTTCCGATGATGGATATCTAATTATGAAATAAAACATGGTTTATATAGCTGATTTTCGACCATTTTTTCAGTTTAAGGGTTAAGTGATTCGATAAACGTTCTTTATATAAATACCGTAAATTCAGAAAGTAAGCACCCCCGAAGGTAAGCACCCTTACCAGAATTATTACAATTTTGGCCTACATTATGATGAGCTTGGCCGAAATTATGTGCATGCTTACTTTCGGGACTTTACGGTACTTCAAGAGGCTACTTTTTGAACAAAAATTATTATTGTGAAAGGACTTACCCTCCAACCCACAATAAGAAGTAATGGTAAGTTATTCTTACGCTTGTCATCAATTTCATAGGTAACAATCCCGCAAGCTTTTTCAATTGTTGACTTGGACCTTCTATAGTACGTTATATGTGACATATTGAGCAAACAACTTATAATAAGAAAAATAACAAACAGGATACTTACATAAATCCCATTTCTCTGCGATTTATTGTTATGGGTAACGGTGTAATTAATTTATTCCCAATATGTTTTCCATGATGTAACGTATCCCTTGATTGAGTATTATTAATATTAATTGTTATCCTGTTAACCAAGTTGTTTTGAACAAAATTATTAATAGCTGATAATGGTATCGGTGGAATATTCATGGCTTATTTTAATAAAAGTTACATAATAAAAATGATAGACGGTAAAAATAGAAAATAGAATGAAAAGACTATCTTGAAATTGGGTAAATTATGAACGAGATTTGTGAATTTGCAACGGCAAAAAAATTAGTAACCACAAGAGAAAAGGAAAAATATTAAGAAAGTTCACTAGCATTAGCGTTAGATATATATACTTACAAATGGTCTAGAAAATATATTTTTAGGTGCACATCTGTTTGTGTTTAATGATTGGCTATATACATGTTTGCACGCAGATGATTTCTTATTAAAAAATTATCATGCATATCTGTTTGTGCCTCTTGGGAAAAAGACAATGATTGGCTATATATATGTTTACAAAAGGAAAGCATAGGTGTTACTATATACATGTTTGCGTTACAAAAAGAAAAGGCGCCACATAGGTGTTACTGGTGTCACAGGTGTTTCTATATTTGGCGATTATTATTTTTGTAATTTTGTACAGTAAAATCAATATCTTCATTATAAGGTTGAGTTCGTCTGTCTGGGTAGTTACAGGGGAGCCAGTAGTTCTTTTTAATTTGTATTATTTGTATCAATGGGGTTTGTACTATTTACTTTTACTTTAATAAATTGACTTACAATCTTATTGTAAAAAAAAAAAAAAAATCAATATCTTCATTATATTTTATATGTATAAATCATTTTTATACAACAATAGCTAAAAAAAAATAGGATCATCTTTGATCTTACCTAGTGATGGGATTTTTTAAATTTTAAGTTAATAATCTTACTTAATAATTTATTAATAAATACTTATTAATTGGTCTGCGATTTTTTTTATTAATCTATGTAAATTATCATATATTAATAAGTAATTATTAAGTAGTTAATAAATCATTTAATAATTATTAAAAATGATGATTGGCTGAAAAAAATCACATGAACCGATAATCAAAGTTTCCAAATTTTAATCGCATATTCAGTATTCTGTATTCGCGTTCATGATTTACTTTATACTTTATTCAACTAACCGAAATGTCACCAAAAAAGAAACAAGACAGAAAAAAAACCCAGTTTGGCTTCGCTTTATTGAAGGTCCATTGCCTTATAGCTCTCACCATGAAGCACAGTATAGATATCGTTTCAGAAAAATGAGTGGTGTACCTTTTAATATGTTAAAACATCTCAAAGAAGAATGCTCTAATATTAGTAAAAAATTTTGTAATATTCTTTATGACTTAGATAATATAAATAATAAGACAAAAAATAATAAACGTTCCCGTGTTGAAGCTGAATTAAGTGACGATAGTAATGGTTAATTATAAATTTTGTCAACTTTGTACGTTAAAAAAAGAGGTTATGCGATCTCCTTAAAAATTGACTAATCAGAATTTTTAGAATTGAAATAATTTTTAAATCCCATCACTAATCTTATCAGAATTTTTACTTTGTATGTATGGTTTTTTTTATATTATGTATGATAGTATGATTTAAATTTTTTATTACATAAAATAACACATAATTATGATGATTCGAAGTTGATCAACGGTTACACAGAAGACAATTACACAATAAATTAATTAATTATACTTTCCCTAATTTTTTATCAATTCGAGATTTATTTTTTTTTTTTAAAAAAAAAATTCTTTATAAATATTTTATTACATAAATATAAATAAATTTCACATTAATTAAAATAATTATATCAATTAAAATATTAAATAATTAATAAAATGGAAATAGTACTCTCAGATGTAAAAGAAATTATCGAAGCTTTAGAATTAGCTAATTTAGTAAAGAAAAAGGATTAGAATTATAATGTAGGCAAAAAATCCTATATATTTATTATTTTTTATAGGTAATTTAGTATTTTGTAGCTTCAATTTTTTTCGCCTAAGTTCTGCGAGATAATTAAAAAAAATTTAAAAAATTTAAAATTTAATAAAGAACATGAAAAGCTTAAATATGATTGTATTTATAATTTATTTATTTAAAGATAAATGCATATAAATAATGACATTGCTAATATAAGTGTATAAGAAATAAAAATATTCATTTAAATTTTTATTTTCATATTTAAAAGAAGGAGCGAGCGCCATTGCATAAGACTTCAAGGGATTGAAAAAGTGTATGGCGATGCTGGTAAAAAAGTATGATATGTGTGATTTTTTTCACTACATACGCACAATTTTCTATATTTAGCAATAAAAGTAGCACGTACGATTTAAAATCATACGTACTAACAAAAAACGCAAACTACATACTATTTTACAAAATCATACTATACTAAGAGCAGATACACCGCAAATTTGAACAGACGTTTGAAAATTTTAATTTTTCCCATCGTAGAATCATGTGATAGAAAATATTTCAATTACATAATATTTCGTAACATTATTGATCCGATTAATTTATATACTGTATTTGTAATGTAATGATTTAACGTTTTATTTATTATATATTTGTCATAAATATCTCTTTTAATCTTTACTGCTTTGAAGAAGAAAAATAATGAATATTGATAATATATCCGATGTTGAAGACTTTCCAATTGAATTGGTAAATCCTGAATTTGAACAGGTTTAAATAATTATTATGACTTTATGAGTCAATTTTATTATTATAGAGCTGAATATTATTAAAGAAATAGAAATTTATAAGCTTATTATCTTCAAAGAGTAAAATTAATATATTTATATTTGAATTTTTCTAACTATCACCGGTGACTGAAATTATGACGATCAACCAGCATTAAAAAATATAGTGCCGGTAAAAATTGATAATTCTGGCCAACGGTGATGATCACCCCCAAGTAAAAATCTTTATATTTTTTGACATAAAATATTTTATTAAAAAACAAAACATGTACGAAAATTCAAAATTGTACGAAAATTCAAAGTCGTACGAAAATTTTTAAAGCATTCGTACGTTCTAGTATAAAAAAATTTATCTGTTAGAAACGTACGTACGAACAAAAAGGATTAACGTCTGTCCGAATTTGCATTACCGTACAGTACTACTTTACTTAATACCTAAAATTGTCAGTGTATTGCATTCATTTAATGTGTATCAGAGGTACTATACTTGCCGCCCATTTAAAATCCCCTCCCATCCCCTCCCCTCCCCTCCCCTCCCATCCCATATCCCATCCCATCCCAAATCCCAATCCCAAATCCCATCCCAAATCCCAAATACTTGTGTAACATTTCTCCCATTGGCCAATTATCACGTGACGTTACACTAACTTCCAAAAAGGAAATTTTGCCTCCCGCAAAAAATGGGCGGATTTGGTTTCACAAGTATTCCAAAAAAGGAAATTTCTATGCCGATCACATAATTCCGGCCGTAATATTTTAGTTTTCGAAGTCTAATG